TCTTGCCTGCTGAATGGTGGAGAGGAAGCCAGGTTTGCTGTGCCAGGAGATGTACTCTGTTAGGAAAGTAATCAGTAGATTATGTGTCTAAAGTTTGCCCATGTTATCTGTATATAATTCTTCTGGGCTGTACCCTCTTCCAACTAAGAACATATAGCATTATGTTATTCTGTTATTTTGACAATTAATGAAAACTTGGTTGTTAGTAATATATCTCATGAAGATTGATCTTTACCATTTATGAAAAAGCTTTGAAAACAGGAAAAAAAAAAGAAAGTTTATATATTTGGTGATGCAAATAAATGAAGACTCTTGGGTTGGGTGTGGATGCTGGTTTTAAGTATTTGTAATGAATGTTTTGGCCCCACTAAAAAGGATATGTTTACTTTATTTGTTCTATAATGTGGCAGCCAGGAAAATTAGTGGTGCTTAAGTTGGAAGGATGGACACTCTTAGAAAAATGCTTCAAAGCTAATTAAACACAGCTTATAGTAGCCAGATGGTGATTCATTCCTGCATGCAGATTGGTAAATATGAACACTAACTCTTAGAATTCAAATTGAGGACAAAGCATGTATTTCATTGGGAAATGATTACATTACTTTAATGTACAATTACATGTACATGCCTGTGCTTTGAAATTTAAAGGCTGGTATTGGTCAATCCTAAGAGTAATTTAGTCCTTAGGGTAATTTACATTCTAAGTGACAAATGATACCCAGTTGCCTTCAATCCAGGTGATAAACTCAGTTCTAACACTTTCTGGATTTATTAGAATTTGTTTCAACTGTGTATCACTGTGTTTAAGGATTATAATCTTTTAGTCATTCATTCAACAAGCATTTACTGTCTGCTTTGTGCCAGACATTATATTAATTGAGGAGAAAATGAAGATGAATTTGTCAGGGTCCTGCCCTCAGGAGTCAGATGTGCCAATAGATGCAAACATCGTATAAATGGTATAGAGGGAGGTGTGGGAGGCTTGCAAAGTTGTAGGAGATGTATATGATGCTAAATGAGTTTCGGTACATCATTAAAAAGGATGCATTCTTCTTGTTTAATAACCATTTATTGAGATATGATTCACATAGTACTGTATAAAATTTACCTATTTAAAAAGTATAAGGATACATTCTTAAACAAGATGTTCTCTTAGCCAAATTGTGGAGTATAAATAGGAGTTGTCTTCTTGTTTGCCCCCTAAGGCAGAAACCTGTAACATGTTCCAAAATATAGAAGTGAAAGAAATCGTGATACTTTGGGAAAACAGAAATTACATCAAATTGCTTAGGATAGATGGAGGGGTGGGATAGAAATACTAGATGAGGTTGCAGGGGTAGGGAGAGGCCAAATCAAGAAAGGCCTTGTATGTCTGTGCTATTTGGACTTAAATCTGAGAGTAATCAGAGGCATTCAAAGGTTCTAAGTAGGGAAGCGAGGTGTTCAGATTTAGGAAGTTTTAGAGAGGTCACTTGACAGCAGAAAAGAGAATGGGTAAAGGGGGGCAGAGGTGGAGGGCAGAGCCCAGCAGCAGGCCAGCTGAGCCCTGCCACTTCCACCTCCAGCTAAGGCAAGAATATTCAGAGTTGGGAGAGGGAGAGTGGGAATGATCTGAAATGAACCAAAAAAGCATCAGCAGAGTTCAGGGATCAATTGAATGTGGGTAACATGAAAAAGGATGACTCTCAAAGTCTTGCTGTGTGGATGGAGGCACAGGAAGACCAAACAATAAACAAGAAACAGAGCAAGAGGAATTAATTTCATCTGGGGAGGTGATCCTATGATATTTTCACATGGGACAATAGCAAAGGCATTCAAATAAGAGGCCTATACTTTGCATCCTTACAGTAGACATGGAAACATGGGGACTAATATAGCTCCGATAAGAAATAGTGGGTCAGATTCAAGACAGTTTTAGAAGAATTTCTGTGACTACTAGGTGTAGTAGGTTGAAAAGTGTTCCCCCCACCAGGATATCAGATCCTAATAACTAAAACTGGTAAATATTATCATATTTGAACAAAGAATATTTGCAAGTGTGATTAAATTAAGGGTCTTGGGGAGATTATCCTGGCTTGTCTGAAGGGAGGCTGATCTAGTCAATTGAAAGTCCTTAAGAGCAGAACTGAGGTTTCTCAGAGGAGGCAGTGAAATTGGAGTGATGTGGCCGCAAGTCAAGGAATGCTGGCAGAAGGCAGAAAAGGCAAGGGATGGATTCTCCCCTAGAGTCTCTGGGGGAGTACAGATTTCTATCCTCCAGAACTGTGAGAAAATAACATTCTGTTGCTTTAAGCTACCAAGTTTCTGGAAACTTTTTACAGCAGCCGTGGTAGACAAGTACACTGGGCTTCTCATCTAGTCTAATCTTTAACAATCATTTATGTAATGAATCTATGTAAAAAGCCTCTGAGTCCTACTGATACATATCAAACTCTTTGTAGCACATGTGTTGATCAAAAATATTTGGACTTAAAGCAAGTAGATAAGCAGGTTTATATGACAATTTGGTTAAATGTGAGACTCCTCAATCACTAATATTTTCTGATTCATCAGTTTGTTAAACTGTCATATGTTTTGCAAAACTTCTTTTGTCCACTTCATATTTTTCTACATCTTTGCATTATTCTATTTAGTAACTTTTAGCCCATATGTCTTCTCTGTACTATTATTCATCATATTGTAAAATTGGAACAACTTAAATGTCTGATACTTAATGTATTATGTATGTAAACTGTCATGTAAAAATATACTCTATGAATATGTATGCATAAGGAAGGATCTACATGGCAAACATGTGGTTTAATCATGTTTTGGTTACTTTGCTTATTTCCAGCCATGTTGCTTTTTGATGTCTGTTATGTTCCATTTTTGCTTGTCTGTGTTTTATTTTCTCCTGTGAGCATGTTATTACTTTTGTAATACATTACTTAAAAATTAAGGCATGGCTTTTGAGTGTTGGGCAGTGTTTCTTCATTTTTCAAACATATTAAGCTTGTCAGACTGCATTTCCATTTTTTTTTTTTTTTTTTTTTTTTTCTTGCGTTATGCGGGCCTCTCACTGTTGTGGCCTCTCCCATTTGCGGAGCACAGGCTCCGGACGCGCAGGCTCAGTGGCCATGGCTCACGGGCCCAGCCGCTCCGCGGCATGTGGGATCTTCCCGAAACGGGGCACGAACCCGCGTCTCCTGCATCGGCAGGCGGACTCTCAAGCACTGCGCCACCAGGGAAGCCCTGCATTTCCATTTTTGTGCCAAGGAATGGAGAACCATCAGATTGCTTCAAGGAATGCTCAGTTGTTGGAAATGTGTCTTCCTAACTTGCAAAATCATTCTGATTTTACCTTGTGCAGTTAGGTGGATGGGGAGACAGGGCAATACAGGAGCAGCAGCACACCAAATTTACTCATGGTTGAAAAACAATAACTGCACACATTCATTTTTGATCAAATCCGCTTATTGACCAAATTATCACATTGAACAGCTACTTGGCTTTGGCCAGTCGTTGTTGACCAAGTTACCTGAACTGTCATCATTTCCCCTGATGTTCACCATAGCTGTTCTATGCTGGTCCAAGCCCGATGATGTCCTGTGTTTAGTGTAGCATTTCTTCTCAGGCGTCTGATCCATCAGGTCCCTAGTTTTCTTTTCTTTTTTTTTGTGGTACGCGGGCCTCTCACTGTTGTGGCCTCTCGCATTGCGGAGCACAGGCTCCGGACGTGCAGGCTCAGCACCATGGCTCACGGGCCCAGCCACTCTGCGGCATGTGACATCTTCCCGGACCGGGGCACGAACCCGTGTCCCCTGCATCCGCAGGCAGACTCTCAACCTCTGCGCCACCAGGGAAGCCCAATCCCTAGTTTTCTGATCACCAGCCTGCCCACTGTGCACAGGGCATGATGACTCATGGTGAAGACTTGTAGGCAGGACTTGGGTTCTACTCTTGGAGCTGAGATCCCTGGAGCCCCATGAAGAGAGAAAGGATGCCACAGTTCCTGGACCTACAGAGGTGAGCACATCTTTCTTAGTTAAGGATGCCTTAAGTTATTTTATTTTGGACACTTTTGCTGTATCATTTTTCCAGGGATGCAGATGTGGGGATCACTGTACTGTATTTGAGGACATTGGCTCATAGAGGCTTTTGTTTCCTTTTCCTCATGCCTTTCAAATTCTTTAGAAAGGCATGCTTTTCTAAACCATAGCTTACGCTTGTCTTTATGGTGTGTGTCAACTACTGAGGCAGTTCAAGTCATTTAGTTAAGAGACAAATAGATCTTTTGTTTAATCACCTTTTCTATGGTGCGATTATGTGATATGCCATGTTATGCATAGAGGTCAAAGGCATAAAATCCTCGGAGGAAGTGAGTGTTGACTTGCTGTGGTGGTTTCCCACGTGGAACAATCCACTTTGTTATACTAGCTTTGTGGAGGTGTCTTTATTTACCCACTTCACTGTATTTTTTTATTTCGATTGAGGAGAAAGGTGGGAGGAGGAAGCCCCACTAGTTGTGATGCTGTTCTTATT